CGTGAGATCATGACCTGAGCCGAAGTCGGACGCTTAACCGACCGAGCCACCCAGGCGCCCCTAATGTCTTTATGTCATTATATTAAGCACAGGATATGAAAAACCTGCATGTCTTCACAGATTAACTGCTGGTGTTCCTCCTACTAGACTACTGTTTGGAAGGAAACCTTAAGGTTAGCTGACTAGTCAAACTTAGCTCCTGCTGCTTAGAATATGCATGACCACCACCACCACTGCCGTGTTACTTCCGTTAGTTATCACCCGTCAAGAACTTTACACATTGTTTCTATGAATCCTTGTATGTGATATGTTATTTGACGTATTATCCCCACTTTGAAAGTTCGGGAAATTTGGGACCAGTGAGGGTAAATAAGTTACCAAAGGCGGCGAAGCTAGATTGGAACTCAGCTCTCTCTGACGCAGAGCATGTGTTCTTTTCCTTGTATCCTCCCATCCCGTCCTTATCGACATTTCATCCCTCTTCTGTGCAGGGCATTCGTTATCATCCGGAAGAGTTTGTTTCATTTTTTAACAACTCTTATTAGGAGATTTGTTTTGAGATAACATCTATCCTTCTGCCCCTTTCTCTTTATTATTCATTAAAGTTCTCTATGAATCCTACAAAATGACTATAGACCTAGAAATCTCATCCTATGGTGCTGCCACTCTGGAAAACAGTATGGACTTTCCTCAAAAAAATTAAAAATAGAACTACCCTATGACCCAGCAATTGCACCACTAGGTATTTATCCAAAGGATACAGGAGTGCTGATTCGAAGGGGCACATGCACCCCAATGTTTAGAGCAAAACTATTGACAATAGCCAAAGTATGGAAAGAGCCCAAATGTCCATGGACTGATGAATGGATAAAGAAGATGTGGCATATATATATAATAAATATATAATAAATGTATATATATAGGGTGTGTATACACACACACACACACACAATGGAATATAACTTGGCAATTCAAAAGAATGAAATCTTGTCATTTGCAACAATGCGGATGGAATTAGACTGTATTACGCTAAGTGGAATAAGTTAGAGAAGAGAATTACATGATTTCATTCATATGTGGAATTTAAGAAACACAATAGATGAACATGGGGAACATAGGGAACACAGGGAAGCAAAAATAAGATAAAAACATAGAGGGAGACAAGCCATAAAAGACCCTTAAATACACAGAACAAACTGAGGGTTGATGGGGGTGTGGAATATGGGTGATGGGCATTGAGGAGGGCACTTGTTGGGATGAGCACTGGGCGTTATATGTAGGTGATGAATCACTAAATTCTCTTCCTGAAATCATTGTTACACTATATGTAACTAACTTGGATTTAAGTAAAAAAATAGAGAACAAACTGAAGGTTGGTGGAGGCGTGGTGGGTAGGGGGATGGGCTAAATGGGCAATGAGCATTAAGGAGGGCACTTGTTGGGATGAGCACTGGGTGTTAAGTGTAAGTAATGAATCACTAAATTCTACTCCTGAAACCAGTACTACGCCATATGTTAACTAGCTTGACTTTAAATTAAAAAATAATGGGCGCCTGAGTGGCGCAGTTGGTTAAGCGTCGGACTTCAGCACGATCTCGCGGTCTGTGAGTTTGAGCCCCGCATCAGGCTCTGGGCTGATGGCTCAGAGCCTGGAGCCTGTTTCCGATTCTGTGTCTCCCTCTCTCTCTGCCCCTCCCCCATTCATGCTCTGTCTCTCTCTGTCCCAAAAATAAATAAACGTTGAAAAAAAAAATTTTTTTTAAATAAAAATAAATAAATAAGTCTAAGAAGCTGTGAGTTCAATAAAGTTAAAGCTTCTTCACAAAAAAAAACTCATCCTACAAAAAATGGGCTTGGGCTCAACGTGTGTGTGTGTGTGTGTGTGTGTGTGTATGTATTTCTCACCCTTTGAATAAGAGATTGTTGTTTGGATTTGTTTTATATAATTGTTATTGTTACATAATTTCATATCCTTTGTTTATTTACTTGACTTTCCATCCTGGAAACTTACTCATTTTCTTCTGCAGTCTTTGTTCATTAATTTAATTTTTAAAGGCCACACGACAGTGAATTTTAATTTTAGGTAGTAGATTTACCTGGGTTCACTTGCAACTCCCTTATTACCAGACATTTCAAATTATAAATAACATGTTGATGGATATCTTTGTGCATATATTGCTTTTTGTATTTAGGTACATACTAAGCATGCTTCCTCATTGGTTATAGATACCTGACTTATAGAAGGTTGAAATATTGTGCCTATTGACATGCTTGATTTGGCTTACAAAAAGGTACAATGGTTGCAATTTTAAGAAGGCGCTAGTCCTCTTGATAAGCCACCGTCTTTTTACTAGACTCACTAGATGCATATCCCTGACTAAGCAACTCTGTGTCATTAGGCAGGAAGAACAGGAAGAAGGAGGAGGGATGGGTCTTTAGGTAGTGGGGAAAAAGGGTATGTGATCCAGATATGATCTGTGAAGAACAGATAAAAAGCAAGTGGAAATAAACTGTAGATACCTCTTAATTACCATTGCAAGGATTGAAGGGTTTGGGGACTGAAGAGTGAACATTTAATGTCTCTGAACAGCTTGTTAAATGTTCTTTTTGTGCTCAGGTTGTATAGGAACTTGTTTTTTTTTTGTTTTTTTTTTTTCAACGTTGTTGTGGGAGAGACAGGCATGAAACAGAGGGCAGAAAAAAAAAGACCTGGGAATCGAAGCTCGCTCCAGCTCTAGTGTGAAACCCTAACAGCGAGCCTCGGCTCCTGGCCATGTGAATGGTCGGTTGGCTTTCAGCTTTCATTTATCACCTAACCACTAATTTGATTTTTTGTAAGATAGATGAAAGTTTATGTATACAGATTAAAAATTGAGGCTATGGATTGAGCGTCCGACTCTTGATTTCGGCCCAGGTCATGATCTCATGGTCATGGGATTGAGCCCTCCTGTCAGGCTCTACACTGAGCTTGGAGCCTTCTTAAGTTTCTCTTTCTCTCCCTCTGCCCCGCTCCCCTGCTTGTGTGCACTCTCCCCCCCCAACTCCCCGCCCCCATAAAAAAAAATTGAGGCTAAGATTGGATCCTATTTTAGTTTTATAATATAATGGATAGGGCTTCTAGTGCTTTTAATGTTTTTCTCTCCTTTACCCAAGGTCAACTCACTACATTAATAATATTTTTAGTGGGGGGTGCCTGGGTGGCTCAGTCAGTTGAGCATCCAACTTCGGCTCAGGTCATGATCTCGCTGTCCATGAGTTCAGGCCCCGCATCAAGCTCTGTGCTGACAGCTCAGAGCCTGGAGCCTGCCTCAGATTCTGTGTCTCCCTCTCTCTCTGACCCTCCCCCATTCATGCTCTGTCTCTGTCTCTCAATAATAAATAAATATTAAAAAAAAATTTTTTTAACCTACAAAAATAAATGGCCAATAAATGGCCAATTTTGTATCACCTATAGCCCCCGCACCCACCTCACTGGATTTTTTTCACGTGTAGTTTAGGGTATATCACGTCATCTATAAATATGTTAGCGTGTTTATCTAAAAGATAGGGACTCTTTTAACACAACCAAAATACATTCAACACACTTAAATATGAGCAGTGATTCCTTAATACCCGTTACCTAAGTTTTTAATACTCTGTAGTTTAGTTTATGAACTTTCAGTTTAAGTTGTTATTTTATTTACTTTCATTGTTTGTATCCGTCAGGTACTTTTAAACTGTTTCCTTTCAAATCTAGTAAATGTTATTCCCAACATAGTTTGAGGAAACCAAAGTGATGGTTTTTGTTTTTGATACCTTAGCTTGGGTTTCTTTTTTTAACAAAATATTTATTTTGAGAGAGACAGAGCACGAGCATGTGAGTGGGGGAGGGCCAGAGAGAGAGAGAGAGAGAGAGAGAGAGAGAGAGAGAGAATCCCAAGCAGGCTCCGCGCTGAGGGCTTCGATCCCACGAACCATGAGATAATGACCTGAGCCAAAATCAAGAGTCAGATGCTCATCCGACTGAGCCACCCAGGTGCCTCCATTGTGCTTCTTAAAATCAAAGTGGGAAGCTTGACTAAATGGCCATCTTCATCTTCAAATTTAAAAAAGCATTCAGGTATATATTATTGAGTTTTACTACACTGGAATGGAAAATTACATATACCTTTGTTCTAATAGCAAAGTCACACAAGTCACAAAGTGTGATCAAAATTACTCTTCAGGTGCTTTCTCAAGATATCTCGTCTGACTTTACTATTTTTGTTTTACATAGGTCTCTAATTAATAGAAGATGGCAAAGCCCAGCCACAGCAGCTACGTCCTTCAGCAGCTAAACAACCAAAGGGAATGGGGTTTTCTCTGTGACTGTTGTATTGCGATCGATGACATTTACTTCCAAGCACACAAAGCAGTTCTGGCTGCCTGTAGCTCCTATTTTAGAATGTTTTTCATGAACCATCAGCACAGTACTGCGCAACTGAATCTCAGCAACATGAAAATTAGCGCCGAGTGTTTTGATCTCATTCTGCAGTTTATGTATTTAGGAAAAATCATGACTGCTCCCTCTAGCTTTGAGCAGTTTAAAGTGGCAATGAACTATCTACAGCTGTACAATGTTCCTGACTGCTTAGAAGACATACAGGATGCAGATTGTTCCAGTTCCAAGTGTTCATCTTCTGCTTCTAGCAAACAGAACAGCAAAATGATCTTTGGGGTAAGAATGTATGAAGACACAGTGGCTAGAAATGGCAGTGAGGCCAATAGGTGGTGTGCAGAACCCAGTTCAACCGTAAATACACCACATAACAGAGAGCCCGATGAAGAGTCTTTACAACTAGGTAATTTTCCGGAACCACTGTTTGATGTCTGTAAAAAAAGTTCGGTGTCCAAATTATCTACTCCAAAAGAACGCGTGTCACGACGCTTTGGACGGAGTTTTACCTGTGACAGCTGTGGATTTGGCTTTAGCTGTGAAAAGTTATTAGATGAGCATGTGCTAACCTGTACTAACAGACATTCGTACCAAAACACAAGATCCTACCACAGAATAGTGGATCTTAGAGATGGAAAAGACAGTAATATCAAAGCTGAGTTTGGTGAAAAGGATTCTTCTAAAACATTTTCTACGCAGACGGACAAATACAGAGGAGACCCGAGCCAGGCGGCCGAGGATTCGACTTCAACCCCTGGAAGCAGAAAAAGTAGCACCGTGGAGTCTGAGCTAGCCGGCGAAGAAAAAAGCAGAGCTGCCGAAAGGAAAAGAATCATTATCAAGATGGAGCCAGAAGATATTCCTACAGACGAACTGAAAGACTTTAACATCATTAAAGTTACTGATAAAGACTGTAACGAATCCACTGACAACGACGAATTAGAAGATGAGCCTGAAGAGCCATTTTATAGATACTATGTTGAAGAAGAGATCGGTATTAAAAAAAGTGGTAGGAAAACCCTAAAACCTCGGATGTCAATAAGTGCTGAAGAAAGAGGAGGTTTAGAAAGTATGAGGCCCCCTAACAACAGCAGTCCGGTACAAGAGGATACCGAAAATGCGTCTTGTGAGCTGTGCGGACTCACCATCACCGAGGAGGACCTGTCATCCCATTACTTAGCCAAACACATTGAAAATATCTGTGCGTGTGGTAAATGCGGACAGATCCTTGTTAAGGGCAGACAGCTTCAGGAACATGCGCAGAGATGTGGAGAACCCCAAGATCTGACAATGAATGGCTTAGGAAATGCCGAGGAGAAAATGGACATGGAAGAGAATCCTGATGAGCAGTCAGAAATAAGAGATATGTTTGTTGAAATGTTGGATGATTTCAGGGACAATCATTTCCAGATAAACAGTATCCAAAAAAAGCAGTTATTTAAACATTCTGCCTGTCCTTTCCGATGTCCGAATTGTGGCCAGCGTTTTGAAACTGAGAACCTGGTGGTTGAACATATGTCTAGCTGCCTAGACCAAGATGTGTTTAAGAGTGCCATCATGGAAGAAAACGAGAGAGATCACAGACGAAAGCATTTTTGTAATCTGTGTGGAAAAGGATTTTATCAGCGGTGCCACTTGAGAGAACACTACACTGTTCACACCAAGGAGAAACAGTTTGTCTGTCAGACATGTGGAAAGCAGTTTTTAAGAGAGCGTCAGTTGCGACTGCACAATGATATGCACAAAGGCATGGCCAGGTATGTCTGTTCCATTTGTGATCAAGGAAACTTCAGAAAACATGACCATGTACGGCATATGATTTCTCATTTATCTGCTGGTGAGACTATATGCCAGGTCTGCTTTCAGATTTTCCCAAATAATGAACAGTTGGAACAGCACATGGATGTTCATCTGTATACATGTGGAATATGTGGAGCCAAATTTAATTTGAGGAAAGATATGAGATCACATTATAATGCCAAGCATTTGAAAAGAACATAAGTGATTTTCTACTGTACTCACGTTTAGTTGATAGCAGACAAAACACCAAAGCAAAGGATATGAGCTATTTAGAAATTGATTTTATAAGATGAATTGTTGGAGAAAGATCTCAAGGCCCTTTTACCTTTAATATTTTTTGTTTAGGATCTTAAGTATCTACATTTTAGATGTTATTAAATGTTTATCATTTTTGTTATTTCTTCATAGAATTCTTTGATTTTAGTTTGTTTTAGCTATGATTAAAATTACTTTTCAATGTAGACTACAAGTGGTTGTTACCCCTTCAATGACTATTAAACTTTAGTTTTTTTATCATAAGGTGATGACTTTACTATTTCTATGTGGGTTTTTTTTTTTTTTTTTTTTTTTTTTGGTAAGTTGAACAGTGATTTAGCTACTGTTTATTCCCCCCCCCTTTTTTTTTATCAATGAAATCCATATTCTTTAATTGACATGCTTGTTAGGCAGGCTAGGTGCATTGACTCTAAACTTGAAGGTTGACATGGGCTCAAACTTGGCCTAAAAAGATTGATGGACCTAAGGAAATTCCTATAAATGAATATTTCCTATAATTGATAAAATATTATCATTTAATAATCACATTTAAAACTTATATTAAGTGTAAAATCCAATGACTTTACCCCACTGGAGAAATTAGTGGGGACATGTCATTTTGTTTTGTGATATTAAATTTAACTATGATAGTTAATTAAAAAGACATATCTTGTATTCATTTAAAATAATTTAAAATATTCTGATTTCTAAAGTGTATTAGTTTATCAATTATTTTTGTTTATAAATAGACTTTAATAGCTCTCTAGGAATATGACATCTAAAGGAAAATGATTTTTCATCTTTAAAATTACATACTTTTGGAACTTAACTTTGAGATTTGAGAAAGCTGCCATGTATATTGATAAATCAAATAAAATAAAGAAATCAATTACAAACCTGGTTGTTCTATAAAAGTAGAGTGTGCAAAAAAATGTCTTGTGTTTTATACTAAGATTTGGAGGAAACGTGTTGTGGCAAATTGCAGTTTATCGCCATGCTTTATTACTATTTTTTTCTGTAAAGGACTACAAAATTTGAGGACTATAAAATAATCACAGAGCATATAAGTAGAAATAGCTTATCATTTTTAGTTAAAGGAGTATCATTGTTAGTTGTTGCTGGCACAGGGTCTACCTTGAATTACATGTGAATTAAAACACTGGCACAGCCGACACACCAATAAACACATCTACCGAATAGAATGCCTTTTAATGTGAATTACTTGCTTTGTCATACCCTTCTCATAACGCAAGGGGTTTTAAGTGACGTCTGTATTTAAACATACAATTCTGTAATTATGCACAGTAACTTAACAGCATTGCTCTTTTTGCTTACGTCAGATTTTTAAGGTATGCAAGTCCTATTTTCCTATACAATTTGCATACAAGGAAAAATTGCCAAGAGAATGGAGACACTGACGAACACAGATCTAGCTGAAAGAGAAGGAAGTACTGGAGCACAGTGTGAGCTCGGAGATTTGTGGGGATACAAGTAAGAATAGGATTAAGTAAGAAGAGGGACAGTGCAGGTGGCATGTGGTATTAAGATAATGGGAAATAGAGACGGGGGAAATACACTAATAGATAAACAAGAAGTTAGGAATTTTTTTTTTTTTTTAAGCCACCTAGCAGAAAAAGCAGGAAAAGTGATTCAGCTAAGTCTTGGACACAGTAGTTTATCAAGGAATTAAATCTGGAGTGCCACTTGAAATATGGTGTATATATTACTGATAAGAACCTGGTAAAAGCTCTGTAACAAACCCAGAGACCGTCAGAGGGTTGCGTAACGAGATAAGATAAACTCAACAAATTTCCAAACTATTGATAGAGTTATCTCACTGAACATAATTTTTAGGGGGAATCACTTTTTTCCATGATCTTCACCAATATCGATTGCAGTGGCTTCCCACCATTAAAGAATAGGGTGGTTTCTAAATACTACCATGCTGTAAAAAAGGATTGTCTATTCCATTAGGAAAAGGGAGGGTTAATTTAATGTTTTGACATGGACCGACAGCCAACAATTAGCAAGCAAATATATAAACATTGAACATAATGTCTAACTTTACATAACTGAGAAGTTTATGGTTTCGCGAAGCCCCACCTCACCATGTGTCCTTCCAGTTCCATATTACTCAGAACAACTTTTGTTTTGTTTTGGAACCAGCTATAGGGCAGCACAGTCTCCTGTGGGTATAATGTACAAATTTTCCTCATTAAGGCAGAGAGTACATTTAAAAGCTACTTGCCTCTTACAGTTAAGGGGAATGAAAAATGTCTGACACCTCTCTCCAACCCAGTTTCCTCTGACTTCCTTACTTTCCTGGGGTTACAGAGCTGTACCTCCTTGCTATTGCTTCTTGCCCTCCGTGCTGTGAAGGCAATGAATCGAGGTTGTGGAAGCTACCTTCTCCTCCTGCCTTTTACAACTTATGTAATTAGGCTCCGAATCCAAAAATGAAGGGAAAATCTAGACAGATATCTTGGAATCTTGTGTCTCACAAACAGAGTCTTGCTTAAAGGGCCTTTGTTCTTCAGCAAGAAATCTTAGAGAAATGGAGTCCGTGCCTATCAAAGCTTGTCACCGGTTACGGTGCAACGTGGATGTTTATAATTCTGTAATAAGCACCACTAAGAATCTCAGATTAACGAAGCACAACAGGGTGGCAGTGCAGTAGGACTCAGAAATCTGTCTTAATCTCACCCATATTTTTAAAGTAAAACTATTGAGGCAAATGACTCTCATGCGTAAAATGGTACAAGGCTAGTTTAATGTATGAAGTTCGAATATGGACAAAACTTAGAAGAAAGAACAGGGATTCTAGGGGCTAGTTATAGAACTAAAAGAATTAAAATAAGGACAAACTTTGCTAGGGCAGTCAGAGCACCAATCAAAAGGAAAAATAATAGACTGACGTGAAAAATCGTATTTAAGTGCTGTAGTTGAAAACAAAACCACGAACGAGATGTAGGAGTTGAATAAAATATAAACATTTGGGATTGTTTTAGGTGAGAGTAGAGATTGAAGTGCTTTGGTAGGTTAAAATAATACTGATACATTAAAATAATTACAGCTATAAAATGCCTGGTGAAACAATTGCTGTGAACATGCCAAGGATATGCCTAAATGCTTGAGATAATATACTAACTTTTCTATTCTAAAAAAGTAGGAAGAGAGGCTAGTGATGGTTGGCAACTTTCTCCCTGGTTAAACAATACTTGTTCCTCTATACCACAAGTTAAGGAACTTCCATATATAATAGATCTCTGGAAAAATCCCCCCTCATAATCAGTTTAACAGTTAAAGTAAACCTAAAACTTGTCATTGTTAACAACAAGGTGAATTAGTACCAACCAAAAGAAAACCCAAATGTGTATCAGTACACGTTGTTGGGAGTAAAGAAGTGTGGCGTGTTTCTTGATTTTTAATGGGTTTTGTGAGTTAAAATTAATTTGCTTTCCATGAATCTACTTGATCAGTTCCTCATCTTTCCTCACCGGGCCCCGCCTCCTTTGTAACAAATGTTTGTCTGTGATAAATGCCAGCGTTCCTCAGGCAGCGTAGCAATACAATGCCCAGGCCACCAGGGTGCCAAAAAGCTGTGTGGGGACATATCCTTGGGGAATGCCCCCCATCTCCTTGATACTTGAGGTGTAGGGAACGGGATGACAGGATGCATGCCAGCCAAGTGAAGCAAGTAGGGTGCTGTCGGGTGTTTAAGAGCACGAAGATGCCGCCCAGATTAGGAAGCCCTTGATCCATGCATCCTCGAGCTCTCCCTTAGTAATCCTGGCGTCCATTTCCTTAGCGCTCTTTATGCTCCGCCAAGTGCTTTACATGCACAATTTTAATTAAGCCTCACAGCCTTATGAGGTAAGTATTCTTTCGATTTTCCAGATGGGGCACTGAGGTTCACAGAGACTTGAGTATTTTTCCTAAGATCACACAGAAATTAACCACAAGAGCTAGAATTGAGCCTAGACCTATTTGATTTCTACATGCCTGTACTTAACCACTCAGCCACATACCTCACCTACCAAGAAGTACAAAGGAGGCCCTTTTGAGCCTAGGAACACGTGTGATAAAGCTCCTATGAAACTCTGTGCTCCATGTTGCATCTGTGATCTGCTGTGCCTGGTAAGGTACTTAATGAACGCATTGAATAATGTGGAAACATATCAGTTGGACTCAAAACTTTTTATTTGAATGGGTCACATTCAGAGTGATGTTTTAGAAATAAATCCTGACTATTGACGTGTTTTAATTTTCCTTTATTTAAACTTAAACCTTTAGTGGTATAATCAGCCATTTGGGAAGACCCATTGTAAGTGCCCAATTAAAATTTAATTTGAATTCCACTGCTGTACTTTTACTGTGACTTTTTCCCCTTCTATTTTCCCTATTCCTGGCCTTTATGTTTTCATCTCCAAGCAATCACCATTTTATTAGTTATGAGACTGATGAGTTGAATAATTCCAGCCGTTTGAAAGTATTCCCAAGAAAAGCCAGGACCCCAGAATAACTAGTTTCCTCTTTTTGCCTTAACAGATGATGTGGATAAGAAAATTTTCATGTCTTTGGCTAAAAAACAAAACAAAATTCTTAATTGGCATATTGTGATTGGTTTGATTATAGAGTAATGTAAGTTGGTCTAAAATCAAAAGTTGGTTATTCTCTTTATAGTTCAATTTACCAAAAATATTAGTGTAAACTTACAAACACAGTCTTACTCATAAAAGAAATGAAAGACAGTTTCAGGAAACAGCTGTTTATGCACGCTAACCTAGCGGCAAACTTAAAAAAAAAAAAAAAAAAGAACAGTTAATGGTTTAAGTGAAACAATCCCCCTCCCAATCTAATCTGATTTTAACTTGATACGTCTATTGCCCGATTTCTAAAAGCTATACAATAGGTTTTACTACTACGGTATTAAATCTACTACTTTAATGGTCTTTCTACCATCTGCCAAATGTTATTTTTTGAGTGAAAAGAGAATAAGATGGTGAAGACTCATTGATGATGCCTTTATAATTACTCAGGTGGCCCACTTTCATTGCCTTCTAGCAAACTCAAGGACATACTACTTGGTAACATATCAGAAGAGTCTTATACTAAAACCAGATGAAATGTAGCTACTTATAAATTTATATGCTGGCAAGAAGCAAAGATGCAAGGATTTAAAATGCAAGGACTTTTATGTCTGTGAGTATTGGTAAATACAAATTAAATGACAATAGCTTGTAAACATGCTAATTTTGAACCCGTTTATTACCACTTACATATTTATATTCAGGTGCTTAGTTGACTTTATCATTAAGAAGCTTAAATCGTTTCCTTATATCCAGGAGAACCAAATCATTGAGGTCCATTGGTAGTGACAGAATTGTTCATCCTTTCTATCAAAATCGACCACAGATCACTAGGGGGCAGGAAGCCATTAGAATTTCTCATTATCTTACTCATTTGTTGACAAAAAAGATGGTGTAAACATTGTAGTGCAGTACTTGGCTCTGAATCGAATGTATCCATACACTCATCATCATTGTGACCAAGTAAGACGTCACAGGAAACTCTCAGGCTGGGGGATGACAAATATGTAAAAGACATTTCCTTTCAGAATCAGGAATATTAACAATTTTATGTGAGAAAACTTGCATGACTCTCTGTACTTACCTATGTGAAAGGAATAGTTTAAAGAGGACAGCCTAGGAAGCCCCCACTTAAGCTTTATTTCAGAAGTTACTATGTTGTTTTTATTGTACTTAATACCAGTCAGACTCAGCAAAGCTCATTTTTGGATGACAGAAATAGAATTCCATCCAGATTATGAAGGCCGTCTTTTCTTTCAAATGCTTATGCATTCCCTGATGTGGGAGAAAATATTTTAAGAGACAATCTCTTAAAAAAAAAAAAATAGGGTAAAGCATTGTTGCAAAAAATACAATTCTACCCAGAATCACTGAGGCAGTTTAGGAGAGTTGTGAACTGAGGAATTTGAAGGAAAGCTCCTTCTCAGCGTTCATGTGTGTACTTTATTTTTGTTTGCAGAGTGTGCAACATTTAATATTTGAAGAAAACAATGTTAGTGTGATGGCTGAAGGCACTCAGTAAAAAGAACATGAACTTTTAAATTTGTTAGATAGATCTTCCAATCAGAGATTTGCCATTAACAAGTTAAAATGCATCGTGTGGCACCTGGCTGGCTCAGTCAGTACAGCATGTGGTGCTTGATGTCGGAGTCGTGAGTTCGAATCCCACCTTGGGTGTAGAGATTACTTACATAAATAAACTTTTAAAAAAAGGTTAAAGCACATTGTAAAATTATTTGATTTGAATGAAGAAAGACCTCTTAACTGCTTCCTTTCTCCCTACTTTCCTCTACCTGGCTGACCTCTTACTCTTCATGTTGTGTGTGTCCTACCCATTCTAGCTTAAATCACAAGAAAAAAGGTGCCCCTAAAGTTGAAGAATTGTATTAGTAGTAAGAACACCTTGTATTTGAAGGGTTCAATGAGTTACATTAAGGAAGAAATTAAATAAATTTAATTCCCAGGAACTATGCTTTTGCTTCCATTCTTTGTTCTAGTAATATTATGCTGGCCTAGTACCCCAAACCATGAAATTCTGACCTAAGAATTATGTTGTATCTTGTAGAGCAGTCAACTTGTAATATTATTTTTCTTGAGTTTTGTCTTTTTCTGTGTGGCAGTGGTGAAATAGGGCCTTCTAAACCTCTGGAGAAGTGAGATCTGAATTTGGAGAGGACATGGGGAAGAATCAATCTTCAACAGATAATCTTTAAGTCCAGACCCAGGAATATCAGATCTGAAGTGACACCATCTTTTCTGTCTTCCTGACAAACCTCATCAATCCCAAAGGTTCCAGTTTCAAGGATCCAAGAAAACTCAGTAAAGATCACTTTGGAATCACTTTGCTGTGACAAAATTGATTCACGGTGACTCTCCTAGTATTTGTGGAAAATCTGCTAAAGAAAAGTAACAGAATATTCATATGGCATCAGTGGTTAAAGCTACACTAAAATGAGACTTTATATGCTAATTATCTTCCATGGTCCCTTCTAAAATAAAGGGGGTTGCTAGGCTACCATAAATATATTATAAAGAGATAATAACGTATCTGTGTAAACACATATAATCCTAAAATTGAAATAATCTCAATCACAGTTTACATATTATGAAATGTAGTTAGACAATTAAAAAAATTACACTCCAAAATCTACAGTTTAGAGTATAAATAAAGAGATGTGGGTACAGAGAAAAAAACAATGAGACCAATTTTTTAACAAGAAAAGATAATCTACTTATTACTCGTTGTAATGTAACATTTGCCCTTCCTCCTTTTTCACTGTATATACTCATCACAAACTTGATTATTAATATTAATGAAGCTCCCTTTAAGCCTGTTAACTCAAAGGAAAACCAAAGTGGTTATTACTTCAATAGTAGATTTTCATAAATCACAGACAACAAAAAGAATGTATCTTAAGACACATTATTTTCTTCTGAATTTAGCAATATAACCTAACAAGGTAGAATGGGTTTCTGTTAAATATTTATTCTCAGTATTAACATATAATACCATATTTCTCAGCTTTCAAATTTCAAGATAAAATTTAACTAAGTATTGAGTGAAACAATGATTGATGTGTTTAAAAAAAAAAACAAACAAAACACCTTTCACCGGGAAATGAAATGTTTGAGGAGATTTTAACCTGGCTTCAAATACTTTGTTTTATATATATATATATATATGCTCATACACACGTTTCTTAACCATATGAATCTTACAGCCATACTATTTCCTTATTGTGAGATACTCATAGTTTTACTTTTGTTTAACTGTCTATCCAATTCATTATTTATTATTATTGTTTCTTATGCAATATCCTGATGTTATATATTTCCAGAAATGCTTATTTTGTTTTTATGCCTATTTCTTCAAATGTTTTAGTAAAGAATTACACAAAGAAATCTAACTTACAGTATATATAATAGTATGTGCAAAAGTTAAGTCATTTAAAATCTCTAGCTATAAAGTGGGATGATAACTTGAATATTCCTTCTAATAATTAGACTAACAAAAACTTAGATAAAGTTAATTAGAATGAAAGTTAATTAGAATGTGGTAGTGGGTATAGGGGCCTGAAGGGATAGGAGAAGTAAAGACTTTGAGTTCATACGAATTCAACTGCTTTAAGAGAAATAAGTTTAGAAAAGTGTTAGATTCTAAAAAACAAAAAATAAAAAACTATAGCTAATCTCTTGGGAAGCATATGAACCTGCAGACTTATAACAAGTAGGAAACAGACAAGATAAAAGATTACCTGTAATTAAAGGTGCCAGATCAATACAGTAGAGACTCAACACATAATGACTGTAGAAGTAGATTTAGAAAAGAAATATGGCTTAAATTTTGACTGTACTAAACTATAACTGTAATGAATTACAATAATTATAAGTGATATAAATGCATTCTATAATGTGATTATTTTCTGTATGTTAGTATGAAATGGAGTTACTGAGTTACATGGAAAATTTTTGTTACATATTTTAATCCGTTGCTTTTACCTAATAAAATTTCCTCCTCTATGTTCAGAAGTTAAACTGTCTGTATATTACTTTTATTTATACAGTATTTCTTCAACCTGGCTCTTTTACAGAATTACTTGTCTGAAAAATTATCAACCCCATCCATTCCCTAATACAAAAATAATAAAATATCGGAGACAGCTAATAATTGTGTTCCTGAGCAGCTTAAGAAGTGCACAAAGCAGGGACACCGGGCTGGCTCAGTCTGTAGAGCATGTGACTCTTGAGCTCAAGGTTGTGAGTTAGAGCCCCAGGTTGCAGGTAGAGATTACTTAAAATCTTAAAAAAAAAAAAAAAAAGCATGCAAAGCAAAACTACACAAAGTTCTTATTGCCAAATCCTGGATTATTTTATATAGAATGATTAGAAAAGTACTATCTTATGGCAAACACAGATGGCAAAAAATCAATTAGGTTTCCTCATAATATAAAAAGGAATAATAGGGGCGCCAGGGTGGCTTGGTCGGTTGAGCGTCCAACTCTTGGTTTCGGCCCAGGTCATGATCCCATGGTCATGGGATGGAGCTCCATAATATTGGGCTCCTCACTGAGCATGGAGCCTGCTTAAAATTCTCTCTTTCTCCCTCTGCCCTTCTCCCCGCTCGTGCTCTCTCTCTCTCTCTAAAATAAAATAAAAAAAGAAATAATCATTTATAAAAAAATGCACTGACATAGTATTTAGTTCTTTCAGAGGGTTAATTTTCAAAATGACAATGTATTCAGAGAAATAACTTCCTTACCAATATAATTCATTTTGTCTATGTTCAGCTTAAGAGATGAAAGTTGCACCCATCCCCCAAAGTGATCAGCAAAGTGTATTCTCTTCATTTCAGTCCAGTTCCCAAAGATGATTGCCATAATTGCACAGAATCTAGTTAAGTATTAACAATTACGACAATATTGGGTCAGTCAGACTATTCCACAAGATTCTATCCTCGAAGCTAGCACTGTACAGAACTGAGGTAAGGCCCAGTTAGTGTTATTGTCACAGATTCACTTCTTTTCTGGAAAAGACTCTCTTCCAGATGCAGGTCTTAGCTTTCCATACCAGGAAGTGTCCTCCTCCAGACCACAGTGTATCTGCAGTTTAATTGTAACTTTTAAAGACTCAGGTTTTTTTGGGGCGCCTGGGTGGAGCAGTCGGTTAAGCGTCCGACTTCAGCCAGGTCACGATCTCGCGGTCCGTGAGTTCGAGCCCCGCGTCGGGCTCTGGGCTGATGGCTCAGAGCCTGGAGCCTGTTTCCGATTCTGTGTCTCCCTCTCTCTCTGCCCCTGCCCCGTTCATGCTCTGTCTCTCTCTGTCCCAAAAATAAATAAACGTTGAAAAAAAAAAAAAAAAAAAAAAGACTCAGGTTTTTAAGACTAAAAGAGCAAATGGTGAAATTTTTCCTATAGTGACAGGTGATTGGATAAAAATTTGGGGACAGGGTACTTCCAATGAAGTATAAAATGGAAGTATTTATAGAGATTTTGTTTTGTTTTTTAATGTTTATTTATTCTTGAGAGAGGGAGAGAGACATAGGGCAAGCAGGGGAGGGGCAGAGAGAGAGAGAGACAGAGACAGAGACAGAGAGAGAGACAGAATCTGAAGCAGACTCCAGGCTCCAAGCTGTCAGCTCAAACTCACAAACCATGAGGTCATGACCTGAGCCGAAGTCAGACTGAGCCACCCAGGCGCCCCTATAGAGATCTTAAATAACCAGTTCAGCTCCACTTTGCTCGTAGGCCCTCAAATTACAGGCTGCTACTTACTCCACTTTCTCTTCAGGCCAACATTAACTCCTCAAAACAATCCACAACCTTTATGAAAGTTGTGTCTGGGTAGGGATTGAGAGGATTCCAGAAAATCCATAAGTTCCCCCCCCCCCCGGTAATTCTGGAAAAATTTCTTCTTATTCAGTCTCCTTAGGGCAGGCCTGACTACCCAGGTACATAGTTCTAGACTTAATCTTACTCATCTTTGTATCTCTAGTACAAGTATTTTCAGATGTGAATTTGTTTCAATTTTTGGTCCTGGTAGTATTATTTAGTACAGAAATGTAAGAGAGAGGCAGAGTATCTTCTTCTTATATGGGAAAAAAAATGAAGTTATTATTTCCCAGTTTTTGGTTAAATAATGTGCCTCAGGCCGCTCTTCATAAACACTGAGCTAGTGAATCACTACTGTGTTCCAGGTATTTTTCTGGGTGGTGGGGATTATTAATTAGAGGGTTTGACATATGTTGAAGCTCTTGTTTTTTCCAGACTGTGTAGAATTTCAGTTTTTGGATTTTAAAAATATTTGAAACACCCCAGTATTTATAATCTGCCAAAGAGATTTTTCCCTTGTTGAAAATCAGTAATAATTTCTATGTAAATAGTAAACTACCAAACTTTGTTTCAATTGAATGTTAATAGGCAAGCTTTAAAAATCCTTGTAAAATTACAGGAAAATTTAGAAAAATTATTGACAATCCTACCATCTAGAGATAATCAATTTTGATTCATTTTCAATATATGTAAGATTATCCTACATACAGAATAGGATACAAAAGTCTTATATCTTATTTTCCCATTTAACTATACCAGGAACATTTTCCTATGTCATTAAAAATTCTTGTACACAATTTTATCGTTACATAATAATTCATCATAGGACTGTATTACACTTCATGTAATCATTTTCTTATTGTCAGATATTTAAGCCATGTCCTTTTTATTATTGTTGTTATTACAAATAATATACCTGTATGTTCTATTATTTCCTTAAGATTAACCCTACAAAGAGTAATGCTAAATGAAGGGTATGATCATATTTAAGGTAAAGAAAAAAATCTTGTCACATTGCCCTCCAGAAAGAGTGTACTAATTTATATTCCCACCAGCAGCATTTACCTGTTTGGCTGCACCATTGCTGGCATTGATGAATATTATTTGATTATAAATTTGCAAATTTGATCATTTTTAATGGGCTACATTTTAAGTGAATTATGAGCCACAATCATCAAAGAGAAAAGAACAAATAAAAAAAATCAATACAAATAAGGAACAATATAAAAATTCCGAGAACAGTCAATATATGACAATGTTCTAGGACTGCAAATGTTTATTTCATATAAAATCAAAATGCAAATACTATGTCTATTTGGGAAAAACTCAGATGCCATTTAAAGTATAAAACATAGGGACATCCAGCTGGTTCAGCTGGTAGAGCATGTGATTTGATCACAGGGACCTGAGTTCAAGCCCCATGTTGGGAGTAGAATTTACTTGAAAAAAAGTATAAAACATCGATATACTAGGTAAGAAGAGCAGAAAAAGTATATATAAATACTGAAAATACAGATAAAATTGCTATTGTAGTTTTGGAAAGCAGTGTTAAAGATGAATATGGAGTTAGACTGCAGGATTTTTTTATAATAACTATGCATATAGTACATAGTTGCTATACAAAAGAACCTCTCTCTTCCTGAAGCTGCAATTTTAGTGCTTGTAAGAACTAGCATGTTTATTTTTTGCAGCCTTGCTTTGCTTGAAGGAAGTGTATGAGGGCTGTCTGAACATGAGAGATCTGATGAGTTTGTTTCTCACTGTTTTTTCTGCTTTCACAGTTGTAGCTGAGATCCTGTCTCTCAATCACACTGTATCATCAGTTCTACAAAGAATTTGTATTGCTTTCCAGCCCCCTAATTCCCCTCTCCCCTTTTAATTACATAAAAGGCAAAAATTTCCAAGAATAAAATCAAGAGGTCTGTACTCACAATTCAAGACAACTTTAATAGAAACTTTTTGGTTTTATTTTGTTTCCCTAATATTGTCTTTAAAAGGTTTCCTAGTCCCAAATCAACTTCTTTCATAGAAAAAGAGATGGGAATTGTGGTTAAAACCAGTGTCCTCTGTAACCCATGAGACTAACAAATAGCAGATGTATTTTTTAAAATTGGAAATGACATACACAAGTAGATAAAAGAAAGGAATATTCATTGACTGATTTTATAGGGTTCTGTCAGCATTGTTTTTTGGTCACAGATAGCTATGTGTGTTTTGTTTTGTTCTGTTTTGTTTTTTTGGCAAAAACTCCTCTCCAGCATTGTCTCACCCAAATCTGAAAGGGGCTATATACTCCCAGCCTCCTTCAAAACCTGGATCCCCCTTCCCATGGCCTCAGGAAAAAAATCATGACAGGTAAAGCTCCTAAATGTATCCTGTCCACCCGAAGAGACTATTTGGTGCTTGTGTTCCTCTCCTTATAGTGACACTAATCTTCTGTCCAGAACTTGTATTTGCCTCAGCATACGCTGCTCATAACTCCGCCCATGCCACAACGCATGGAAAGAAGGCCCTCCCTCCTTTCTTTGCTGGCAAACTTGAGTGCCTGGCTCAGCGGTGCCATCGCTTCCAGGAAGCCCTCACCAACACACCCTGCGCTGTTCGGATGTTCCCCTACTTTGTGTTCCCATAGCACTTCTCTCAAATTACGTTTATCTTTTTATTAGAGCCTTAACTTCATAAAAACAGCCCATTTCATTTGTCTTTTTACTCTCACATAATAGGTATCTGTTAAAGCTCGTTGAATGTCTCCAGCTTTCCCCCCTAATGTGAAGTGTTACCGCTGTTTTCGTGACAGCAATTTGGTTACTGTCTTCCTTCGAGAGTCCAAATATAGGGGTCTGCTTCTACCTCCTATCAGCTGGTGCCAGATAGTACTTCCAGACCCATTCTCAAATTCCTCTTAAACATAATAGAATGAATTACATTCCTTTTTCATCTACCTACTCTGAGGGTTTAGGTCTCTAATGTAACGTCAGCATAGCTAAAGAAAACAATTTCAGTTGAGCTGGGTCATAAACAAAACTCGGTCATAAACACCAGCGCAAGCTCATGCTGCGAATGAGAGAATCTTGGGGGGCGTCAGCCTAAGTTACTTAGTGGTGCTTCAACGTGCAGGTTTTGATTAATTCATAGATTTTTCCGGTGAAGAACTCAAATTGGGGAATAAAGCACTTGAAATGGAAAATAAGGAAAGCAGTGGAGAGAACCGGGAGACGAAATCAGGGAGCTCTAAGAGGCAGGACAAGCAGGAAAAATGGAGAGCGAGGTGGAGAAAGTTTAAACCCTGAGAGGACGACTCGCAGCCGCTTCCCGATCTCCAATTGTGCAGGCCGCCCGCGCGCGGGCAGAAAAACCGTCGGCCTCTCAGGTCGCACCGGCCGGCTACTGCTGTCCCGCCCGCCAGGCGGTTTTTATCGAGCGCTCACACCCACAGAGACGCTGCGAAGCACGCGAAGTAAAATTCCAGGAGGCCGACGTCCCGTCTCAGGAACTTCAAAGTCATTTCTTTTTGTCCCCGCCGGAGGAAGCCGCCCTCACGCCCAGGCCACGCCAACTCCCAGTCCCTTCCGTTTGAAGGGCGCAGGA